GTCCGTCAGCCCTCAGATGGAGAGTCAACAGCCCCCAGGTCTGGAGGTGGCTGATGAGGAAGAGGAGAAACAGCCGGGTCCAGTGCCTGACGCAGAAGGCAGAGGAGAGGAGAGCAGTGAAAATCTATGGGCTGGTCCTTGGGACGGAAGAGCCATCACTGCTAGCGAAGCTCCATCCTAGCTCTGGGGATAAAAGGCAGGAGACGGAGAGGAGTAGATGTGGCAGACAACTATTCATCTCCCAGACAGATTGTTAGCCTGCGGTGAGAGAGAAACTTTTTGCCAGGGCTGCCAGCGCTCCTAATAAAAGAATCGATTTAAATACAGAGAGTTTGTAGTCTTTGGAGAGAGCCGGGTCAGAACAGCACCATTTAGAAAAGGAGCGGGGAACAATGGCCCGTTTATGACCGGTGGACTTCAACTCCCAGAATTCCTCAGCCAGCCATGCTCAGAATCCCATGCTGGCTTAAGGGATTCTGGGAGTTGAAGTCCACCCATCGTTAAAGGGCCGTCGTTCCCCATGCTGCCTCAGGGATTCTGGAGGGAGCTTGAGCCTCTCTTACCGTTGGCCGAGGGAGATCGTGAGAAGCCCTGAGCGCCTCTTTTATCGGGGCTGGGGAAAGGGCTGACGGGGGGCTGGTCGTAGAGGGGCAACGGCGCCAGGGAGTTTTGGGACTTTGCCGATGGAAAGACCTGTGGGGAAAGAAGAGAAGATGGCGTTAATGGAGGACGTTCTTCACCGCCAGAGTCACGGGTCCTCAGGGAGAAAATTCGATCCCCGTGGTCCCTAGGAATCGACCGCGATTGGATGGCACATAGCATCAATGTCAGAGAATATTCATTAACTGGCAGAGACATGGTTAACAAAGTCAGCAAGTGAGTAAGCATGGCAACAGACCAGCCCATGGGAACTGACAGCCTGGGTATCAACTCATAAAACATATTGGTATCTCCAATCAATTTGTTTTTATATGTGTTGTACAGGTCACCTTCAAGAAGTGAGGGGAGCCGAATGTCAACTCATAAAACATATTGTATACACATTTTATAATTGTCAACAGAAAGAAGGGGGAGGAGTTTCCAAGAGCAGGCAGCAGTGTAGAACCGAAAGTACATTCCACTCATATTTTCTTCGAAGACTGATTAGATGACTGAAGCTTCTGCCGCAAAAAAACCTAATTGGAGGCCATGATTGATGACTCTTGGCTATGGAGGTGCTTCGTTGGATGATACACCCAGAGGGGTGGGGGGAAAAGCAGGATCAAGGGTGACAGTGAATTACATATCTCAGAGTCGGCTACGCCAGGGTAATTCCGACATGTTAACTTCTAATAAATCCAAAGAAGTTTTGTGAAGGCGGCTCGAGGCTCATGATTTAATTGGAGTAACTGCTGAGTAATTGCTGATAGTGGGCGTGGTTTGGCTCTGTGCGCTTTGCTGAGAATTAAAACTGAAACCACGTTCTGCTCTGAGCTGCTGCTGCTGCTTGTGTTTTTGCTTAGGTTACCTTGAAAGAATCTGCAACTGGTATTGTAAACTTTACTTATGATTATAAAGAAGTTAATGATCCTGCTGAATCAGTCATCTGTGTATTTTCTGGACGCGAATTTCCGCGGCTAACTCTATCGATCAATCCATCAACGGTTGGCGCCAACATACCTGAACTTCAGCGATACATGCGACCTCTCCGTTTTCAGAAGCGGTTAGTTCTTCGACCAGGACGGAAGGGAAAACCCCGACGTGGCCGTTGAATTCTCCTTCCCAGAATCCGTCATCATCCTGGTTTTCTTTGTTCAGGATGCGGATGATGGCACCTTCCGGAAAGGAAAGCTCATCGTCCGTCTGACCCTCGTAATCGTAAAGTGCTTTTACAAAACAGACTGGAAGGGAAAGCAGAGGTGAAGAATCCGTTAGCGGGCTGGGAATCCACCTGGTAGGTATGTCTTGGGATCCTGAGGGCTCGCCTTCCTTTAACGACCCTGTAAATCCCTTGCGGGGCGGAATCTGCACAA